TTATTATTTTGTTGTTAGATGCTGTTAAGCCAGTTCTTTTCCTGTTTGGTTCTTTTTTTTTTTTTTTGGTTAATTTACAGATGTAGAAACAGATAAATAGAAGATATCTACTCAGTTATAGACCTAACTAGTAAAAGAACCAGGACTAGTTTCATACTCTATTATAAAATGAATAATAAAGAACCAAAGTAGTTACAATATTTAGCCTTTATCACCAGATTTGTAATCACTGATATTTGTATGATACTTCAGAGTTCAAGGAGAAAATTTAGATACATTATTTGATTCTCAGAACAGAGTGAGGTAGCTAGAACAGGGTAATATGCCTATGCCATAAGGCTGTACCAAGGGGTGGAGTTAGAACTCAAACCCAGGTATCTGCAGAGCAGTAACGCAAAGCAGGGACATGGGTTCTATACCTGCCTAAGGATCTTAATGCTCTCAAAGAGATTTTCTGTCCACCATCACTACCTTTTCCTGGCAACTGTTGTCCTCCTTCTCATCTAAAAGGACTTGACCTGTTCTTACATGACCTCATCACTCCAATCACAGCTGACTGGTTCAGGGATAGGCACATATTCAAGCTAGGCCAATCTGAGTTTTTTTAATCAAAACTTTTTTCCTCTCCAGTGATAGAAACTGTGGGGATATCAGCTGGGGAGCTCACAATAAGCACAATTCCTGTCTTTAGTGGAAGATGATGTGCAAATGATGTCGTCAGAGAGAACACAGATAAGAAAGTCCTGGTACTTACATTTACAGGTGGGGTGGTGGCTAAAGCATTTGGCTGCTAACCAGAAGTTTGGCAGTTCAAACCCATCAGCTGCTCTGCAGGAGGAAGATCAAACAATCTACTTTCCTAAAGATTTATAGCCTTGGAAACACAACAGGGTTTGCTAGGAGTTGAAATTGACTTAATAACAGTGGGTTTTTGCTTTTCACTTTCAAAGTCTCATTTGAAACCTCACAACACTGTAAGTTACCTATTGTTATCCTAGATACAGGTGAGAAAAATGAGGCTAAGGTGAGTTCAAGTAACACTGTAAATGACACAGGACACAAATTCAGGTCTTTTCATCACAACTTCCATGCATTTTCCATTGTATCACAATGCCTCTAACTTAATGAGTTTATGTATTGTATTTATGTATTGAGGTTGTGCACAAGAATTTATTTGGAAGAAAAAAGGGATTCAGCTGATAAAAATCAATGATTTGAAAACCACCAGAACAGCCCTTGAATGCATTAAGAATTAATTGAAGTAGTAAATTAGTAAGAAAAGGCTTTGTGAAGGAAATGGCACAGGAGTCTTTAAAGAAAGGGTAGGAATTGGACAAGCAAAACAGGGCAATAAAGAGGAATTACCTACCTCTGCATGAAGAACCACTGCCTAAGCAGAATACAGGCTTTCTGATATGGTTCATTTAAGAACACAATATAGTATCTGGTAGACTGGGCAATCTACTTCCGTAGTGATACTGCCTCGGAAACCCAAGGAGGGGTCGCTATGAGTCAGGGCCGACTGGACGGCACATTAACAACAACAATAACAAGTGTATCTGGTATAAAGTAACTGATTACAGTCGTCTATTCAAATGAAGTATTGATGGCACTGGCAGGGAGGCAAAGGCATTTAAATGAAATGCAACTGACAAGGGAAGATGCTCAAATTTGGGAGTAGAAAGATGAAAGTACTGTTTAAAGAAAACAAGTGTATTATCAGTACAAAGAATGTTTCAGAAGGTAAAAACCTCAAACCTGCTGTTGAGTCGAATCCAACTCAAAACAACTTCTCCTTGGGTTTCTGAGGTAGTATCTCTACAGAAGTAGATTGTCCACTTTTCCTTCCAAGGAGTGGCTGGTGTGTTTGAACCCTCAGTCTTCTGGTTAGTAGTCATATGCCTTAGGCACTACGCCCCACCAGAGCTCCCAGAAGGTAAATTTATTGCAGATTATGTGTATTCTTTTTACTTTTTTTTTTTTTTTTAAGAATAGCAACATAGGAAAAACACATACACACAATACAACCACAAGATGTGAAGTTAAAAACTTTGGTTTCAGGCTCCATTACCTGTCTCCCCACAGAAGGAAGACTGGGCAATCTACTTCAATAAAGATTCACCGCCTGGGAAAACCAATGGAGGTCACAGTGAGTTTTTGTTTGAGTTTACCTGTCTCCCAACCCCTACTGGCTGTGTAAACAAGACCACTGTAAGAATCAATTGAAATAATGTATGTGAAAGCCAAAGTACTATTCAAACTATTAACTCTTGATGAAGGTGGGTTAGGAAGGTAGTAGCCAGAATAATGACTGAACAATTTCAAGGAGTGATTTCTAACACCTAACATGGCTTGGGGGAGCTCTGGTAGCATAGTGGCTAAGACACTTGCCTGCTAACCAGACGGCTGGTGGTTCAAACCCACCAGCCACTCCTCAGAAGGAAGTTTGGGTAATCCTACTTCCGTAGTGATACTGCCTCGGAAACTCAAGGAGGGGTCACTATGAGTCGGGGCCGACTCGACGGCACATAACAACAACAACATGGCTTGGTGACAGATGAAACTAGAAAAATAAAGCTACCTAGCCTGAGAAACTGAGAAGGAGCAAGTTAGAGAGAACGATTAATTTGGGGCACATAGATTTTAATGGGATAAGACAACCAATTAATTGAAGGTAACTTGTACACTTGCTGCTGTTGCTTGGAGGGAAAAGAAGTGACCCTTGAGGCCAAGAAGCAATATACCATTGTTGTTAAAGACACAGATTTTTATTTGGGGGGGTAATTCTAGAGACAGTCTAACCCACCAGCTGTACACTTATGGGTAATTTTGGGCTGTGAAAGTTACTTAATTCTCTGAACCTCAGCATCTTCATCTGTAAAATAGTGACAATATCAACTTCAGAATTTACTATCAACAAATGGTAGCTATTTTTAGGATCACTATCATTATTAGACAATTGCTCAGATGAGTTTACAGAATACTTAGAATTGAATCATCTTGTTGACGAACAAAAGATGGAATTGCTCCAATACAAATGAGAATTGTGTAACTGTTCCAAAAAATCCAAGGATTCCACGTCAAATGTGTCAAATCTTTAATTAAAATTAAATTAAAAGTTAAATCGATCGGCCATGTTAACTCTTTTGAGATACACCTTAGACTAAAGCTTTTCCTGCCGTCTGTGCATAAGACACAAAATACTATTAGAGAAAAAGAAAGCAAAGGTAAACGCAGACCCTTGGTTTAAAAAACACAAAAGACGAAACAAGAAGGAAGGTGGCTACAATCGACAGATCCCACGTGCGAAGGACTACATCAGGCAGTGGATTACCGTGGAAAAAGTTTGGTTTAGCATCTAACCTCCGGGCGTTTGGCCTTCCCAATCACATCCCTGGTCCCTTCCCCTTCTACCTCCCTCAGACCGCACCTTTCCTCTTCTGCCTCATTTCTGCGCCGTCGTAGCAGCGGCCACCACAGATAATACACCGACCAATTCAGACCCCGGGGAAAGTTGACAGCCACAAAGCAACTCCGACCTGTCGTAAACTGACGGACACTGTATCGTAAAGCTTTAGCCGGGAGACGCGCAAAATCGGCTCTATGCGGCAGAGGCGGAGAAAGGCTGGGGCACAGGTAACCCGGTCTGAGATTTAGGCTACGGGAACTGCTGAAGGAAATGGCAGTTCAGGAGATAGAAAGGTTGAGCTGGACAGTATAGCGGTGGGACAAAGCTTACGTATAGAGGCTGCGTAAGAGTGGAAACCTAAGTAGAAGTGGAAGTGAGTTGTCTCGAAATAGGAGTCTAGGGGCCGAGAATGCTTCATTTGGGGAGGCGGGGCGGAAGCGGGGAGACCGCGTGAGGACAAAATGTTGTTGGTGGAAATAAATCCTGAGACTGTACGAATCAAGTAGCCATCGGAGGTGAACGGAGTCAAAAACGTAAATGCGCAGAGACACACCAAAATTGGTGTAACAGTAATATAACAGTATATTTATTGTGAGTAGACACGATTGACATTGACAGAGCCAAAAGTATGCTCTCCGAAGAGGGGCAGTGTTACATGGGTCATTGTTATGTTAGTTTATTGGAAGATAGCATCAAAGCACAGTGCAAGGTTTCAGAGCTTCTGGTGGCATAATGCCTAAGGCACTTGACTGCTAACCAGAAGGCTGGCGGTTCAAATCACCAGCCACTCTTCAGAAGGCAGGTTGGGCAATCCTACTTCTGTAGTGATACCGCCTCGGAAACCCAGGGAGGGGTCGCTGTGAGTCAGGGCTGACTCGACGGCACATAACAACAACAACAGGCTCAGAAACAATCCCAGGGACCCGCCAGACGTCCACAAACGCAACAGTCAGACCCTGGAGTTCCTGCTTCTGGAAGCTGGCTGTACCTAACTTAATTTTCTAAAAGAACCAGTGCATAAGGTCAGATGGTCTTGGCTCAGCAGTTATTGTTTGACCTGAAGGTGATTCCAGGAACCAGTTCCTACAAAGTTCAAAAACACACCTAAGAGTGGATGACCTGGGTGTGTCACCCCAATTCCATGAACCCAGAAATCTGGGTTCCAGGAGAATCAAAATGATTTTGTCAAAGGTTTGGCGCCAGTTGGTCACCTTGGTCTTACATGAATAGAAGACATACATAACCATGAAAACTATGAATGTCTCTCCAGAGAAACACACACATGCACAAAATTTTGCAGTTTGGGGCAGGACTTGGGATAACGTTTTCCTGTAGTCCACCCACTATCTTTTTTGTTCATGCACCAAAAATTAAAAACCCCTCTTATTGTAGTAATGCAATTTTTGACCCAACCATGACATACTGAAAGTCTCTTGACCAAGCTCTGTGACTTCCCATCTTGCAAACTTCAGTGGTATTTATCCATCTTGATCTTATTGTTAAGGGGCCTTGGTGATGTAATGGTTAAGTGCTCCGCTGCTAAGTGAAACTGGTGCTTCAAACCCACCAATGGCTCCTCGGAAGAAAGATCTGGCAATCTGCTCCCATAAAGATTAACCCAAACCATTGCCAATGAGTGATTCTGCTTCATTGTGAGCCTATTAGACAGAACAGAACTGCCCAATAGGGTTTCCAAGGCTGTAATCTTTATGGAAGCAGACTGTCACATCTTTCTCTAAAAGAGTGGCTGGTGGGCTTGAACCACCTACCTTTAGGTTAGCCTAGGACATCCTATGGGGCAGTTCTACTCTGCCCTATAACCAAAAAACAAACCCAACCCACTGCCACTGAATCGATTCCAACTCATATGACCCTATAGGACAGTAGAACTACCCCACAGGGTTTCCAAGGCTGTAATATTTTATGTAAGCAGACTCCATCTTTCTCCTGTGGAGTGGCTAGAAGGTTCAAACCACCAAAAGCACCCAAATGCCTTCACTACTGCACCACCAGAGCTCCTTCTGTCCTATAAGGTTTCTACTAATCAGAATCAATTTGATGGCACACAACAACAACATCTTATTGTCATTCTAGTACTAATTGTCATGAGTTATCTTCCTATCATCTTAGTACCAACTGTCATAAGTTGTCTTTCTTGAGAGTCTCCTGTCTTCTGTGATAGGACCTCCCACTCTCTTGGTTTTCCTTCTACTCTTTCTTGATCTCTTTTGTCCACTCCTCCTCCTCTTCCACATCTCAAAATATTGGTGTACCACAGCCTCCACCAAGTTGATCCCCAGAGTACCATAGCTTTAAAAAAAAAGCTTCAGTGATTTGGTGGTGTAGTGCTTAAGGCATATGACTGCTAACCAGAAGGCTGGCAGTTCAAACCCACCAGCCACTCCCCTGAGAAGCAGATGGAACAATCTGCTTCCATAAATATTGCCTCGTACCCAATGGGGGTTGCTATGAGTCAGAATCCACTCAACGGCAGTAGGTTTGGGATTATATGATCTAGCCTCTGCTTACTTCTACTGCTCATCTTTTTGCTTCTAACTTTAGGAACACTTCCCTTCTTTTAGCTCTTCAGTCAGACTTGTCCAGCTTATTCTCTTCTCAGGGCATTTATACTTCCTGTTTCTTCTGTCTGGGGCATTTTTCTTCCAGTTCTTCACATGGCTGAATTCTTGTTATTCAAGTTTCAATTCAAATCACCTTTTCAAGGAGGTTTTCCCTGACTAGCCTGTCTGAAAAATTGTCCCTTCCGCACCTTCTCACCCTATTTTATTCCTAGCATTTATCATAATTTACATTTATCTGGTTTGTTATTTATTGTCTACTCTCCATTGGTAAAACCCCATGAGAATGGAAATCTTACTGGTCTTTTTCACTTCTATATCCTGAGTGCTTAAAGTATGCTTAGAAAATAGCATGGGAGCTCTGGTAGCATAGTGGCTAAGACACTTGACTGCTAACCAGAAGGCTGGCGGTTCAAACCCACTAGCCACTCCTCGGAAGGAAGATGGGGCAATCTACTTCCGTAGTGATACTGCCTCGGAAACCCAAGGAGGGGTCGCTATGAGTCAGGTCCAACTCGATGGCACAAAACAACAACAATAACAAGAAAATAGTATGCAATCAGTATGTATTTGTTGAAGAGTGAATGAATCAAATATCTACGTATTGTCAACTATGTCTGTGTGGTCCAAATGGCTGGCACTCTACTACTAACCTAAAGGGTGGCAGTTCAAACAAACTCAGAGGTGCTGCGGAAGAAAAACCTGAGAATCTGCTCCTGTAGAGATCACAGCCAAGGAAACCTTATAGAGAAGTTGTACTCTGTAACACCTGGGGGCCTGTGAGTTGACATCATGGCAATGAGTAGGGAAGGCTGACCTACTGTAAATAAATGAATTCACTAGTTTAGTCAATAAAGATTTACTGAGTGCTAATCACTATTCTAAATGCTTGGGATACATCACTAAGGAAAAAAACAAGTATTACTACATTAAAACCAAAAAAAGCCAAGTTCACTGCCATGGAGTCAGATCCAACTCATAGTGACCTCTCCTTGGGTTTTCAAGCGAGTTGTTGTTGTTGTTAGGTGTCGTCGAGTCATTTCTGACTCATAGTGACCCCATGCACAACAGAACGAAACACTGCCCTATCCCACTCCAGCTCCATGATCACTGCTACACTTGAGCCCATCATTGCAGCCACTGTGTCAACCCATCTCATTGAAGGCCTCCCACTCTTTTGTCAACCTTCCACCCTACTAAGCATGACATCATTCTCCAGGGAATGGTTCCTTCTAACAACATGACCAAAATAGGAGAGACGAAGTCTGGCCATTCTTGCTTCCAAGGAGCATTTCGGGTGCACTTCCTCCAGTACAGATCTGTTAGTTCTTTTAGCAGTCCATGGTACTTACAGCATTCTTCACCAGCACCACAACTCAAAAGCATCAACTCTTCTTCAGTCTTCCTTTTTCATTGTCCAGCTCTCACATGCATATGAGGCGATTGGAAATATCATGGCTTGTGTCAGGTGCACCTTAGTCCTCAAGGAGACATCCTTGCTCCTCAGCACTTGAAACAGTTCCTTCGTGGTTGGCCTTCCCAATGCTCCACGTCGTCTAATCTCCTGATTGCTGCTTCCTTTGGCATCAATTGTAGAACCAAGCAACGTGAATTCCTTGACAACCTCAATCTTCTCTCCATTTATTGTGATGCTGCTCATTGGTCCAGTTGTGAGGATTTTTGTTTTCTTTATATTGAGACATAATCCATACTGCAGACTGTGTTCTTCAATCTTCATCAGTAAGTGCCTCAAGTCATCCTCACTTTCAGCAAGCAAAGTTGTGTCATCTGCATATCTCAGGTTGTTAATGATTCTTCCTCCAATCCCGATGCCACGTTTTTCTTCATATAGTCCAACTTCTTGGATTATTTGCTGAGCATATAGATTGAATAAGTGTGGGGAAAGGATACAACCCTGACACACTCCCTTCTGGATTTTAAATCATGTAGTGTCCCCTTGTTCTGTTTGAACGACAGCCTCCTGGTCAAGGTACAGGTTCCTCATGAGTACAATCAAGTGCTCAGGGATTCCCATTCTTCTCAATGTCATCCATAATTTGTCATGATCCACACAATCAAATGCCTTTGCAGAGTCAATAAAACACAAGTAAACATCTTTCTGGTATTCTTTGCCTTGAGCCAAGATCCATCTGACAACAGCTATGATATCCCTTGTTCCACATCCTCTTCTGAATCCAGCTTGAACCTCTGGAAGTTCTCTGTCACTATACTGCTGCAAACGTTTTTGAATTATCTTCAGTAAGATCTTACTTGTGTGCGATATTAATGATATTGTTCAATAATTTCCACAATCTGTGGGATCACCTTTCTTTGGAATGGGCACAAATATGGATCTCTTCCAGTCAGTTGGCCAGGTAGCTGTCTTCCAAATCTCTTGGCATAACCCAGTGAGTGCCTCCAATGGGGCATCTGTTTGTTGAAATATCTCAATCGGTATTCCGTCAATTCCCGGAGCCTTGTTCTTCGCCAATTCTTTCATTGCAGCTTTGACTTCCTCCTTCAGTACCATTGGTTCTAGATCATATGCCACCTCCTGAAATGGATGATCATCTACTAGTTCTTTTTGGTACAGTGACTCTGTGT